AACCAGAAGAGTCATTCCCCGGTCGGATTCCGTTGATTTGCGTCGTTATTACTTCATGTTGTAACCAGAAGAGTCATTCCCCGGTCGGATTCCGTTGATTTGCGTCGTTATTACTTCATGTTGTAACCAGAAGAGTCATTCCCCGGTCATGTTTCGTTGATTTGCGTCGTTATTACTTCATGTTGTAACCAGAAGAGTCATTCCCCGGTCATGTTTCGTTGATTTGCGTCGTTATTACTTCATGTTGTAACAGGTCTAAGAGTCATTCCCCGGTCATGTTCCGTCGATTTGCATCGCGATGCCGTCCCGTCGTGACGCAATGATTTGTTCCGCGATTTTCCGTTATTGATATTTTGCCATTTCGAACTTTCGCAATTCCCGAACGCGTAGTTGGCTGACATACTCACGCGGTGCTGCCACCTAGTGGCAAGCTGTCGTCGCGTGGAGAGTGACGCCAATCCTTGTTTTTTTTTTAGAGAAGAGCAGTTGCAGCGTGGGCTAGCTTCGTCTCCGAGCACCTCGGACAATGAAGCCATGTTTGAGTTGGAACTGGAAGCGAGGGAGGAGAAGGGGAAAGAGGTGAGGCAGTCGACTTATCTGCTGGCTGTCGTGTGATTGACAGGCATCTCTAGCCCATCAGCATTGGGATGGGACGTTCTAAAGGCAATTAAGAAATAATCTTGGTGGGAGAGAGTGTGTGTGCGTGTGTGGTACAGTATGCAGGATGCAAAACAGCATGACATACCATTGGCACATCAGACTGTTTGTGTGCCATTAATAACAACGAAAAGGAACAGCGTTTTGATTAAACATTATTTCAGAAAGTTTTTGGTCACATTTTAATGTCATCGTTTGCGTTTTTCGCACGCAGGATGAGGATGTGGCGACGTCGGACGGCAGTGGTGGCAGCAGTAAGTCGGACGACAGCAGCGCCCGTGCGCGCTACCAACGCGTGCGCCGCAAGCTCGCGCGCATCTCTCACCCCAGGAACAAGGTGTTCAAGTCACATTCCAAGTCTGCGCCGATCGACATCAAGGCCAGGAAGTAGCGGGGGCGGTGACGATTCTGTCCTGTCGTCATACGCGTGGGGACAGACGTAAGGAGTAATCGACCGCCTCCCTGTCCTCCCTAGAAGCCAGTCGAAGCTGAATGCCATCGGATGATGGATGGAATGGAGGGTGACGCGTCGGCGCAGCGTGGAGAGCGATATCTTGCCGGTTTGTTGATCGGCAATCCGCCGGCGTCTCGGCGGTTCGTTTTGTTTTAACGCGCGTCCTCGTGAGGTATCAGGAAGTGTCTTGCCTGTGACAGACGGGCGCATGGGGCTCGCGCTCGCGCGCGACAGAAAATCCACTAAAAAGAAGTTCGTTCGTAGTTTACGTGTTGTTGTTTTAAAAAAAATGTTTTTACGCGCGGCGAGTGCTCCGACCTGTTTTCTGGTCGCCTCTACGCACGTGCGCACACTCGTATAAAATGCACGCTCGCCGCTAGTTACGTTATAGTAGGCTGTAGTAGCGGAACTGCTGATGTTTACGCGATGGTGGGAGAGTGACGATGCCCACGCGTGCGGCTTTACAATGCCCTGTAACCCCGCACGAGCGGACGCTGTAACCTCTCTGGTGAGGTTATCTCTGCCTGGCACAATCCCAAGTAAGTGCGATGGTAAAAGCGCGTCCGATTCGTCCGTAGTCTGTTCTGTCCAGAGAGAGATGCAATGTGAAATCGTGGGGGCATTTGTGAGGACGTTTGAGGTCAAAGGTCGTTTCGCCATTTACTTGGCTTCATAGCTCACCCTTCCCTCTCCCCCGAAGTAACAGCCCAGTGTTAACATTTGATTAGTAGTGTTGCCCGGTCTTTACATAGCATTAATATATAGATATATTATCAAAAAAACAGATAATTTATTTATTAACGGAGAGATATTTTAATGTATATTATAATCGTCTCGTGCGGTGTTAGAGAGTTGTGCCAGATTTTCACCAAAGATTTCGAAGCCAGTTTGACCGCACGTTCGTTAACTTCTCGTCCTCTAGGCACCGGTTTGCTGGCAGCTTTCCCCGCAACCTATCTATGCAACCCTTCTCCTTGAAGCCTTAAAGCGGGGGAGAAAGGAAGCCGGAGCGTAGTAGCGCCGGCAAGTGACGCTAGGGGGCGCCACCTCGGTGCTCCGCTCACTACTAGCGCTACTAGAGGGCGCATTGGCAGCACTCCGCACGCAGGCTGCGCCACTAGAGGGAGCAAACGCAGCAGCGGTCACGCGGCCGCGGTGATTGTGCCACCGTCGTCTGGCCGTCGAAGCATTTTTCAGTCGTGTCGTAGACCCCACCACCCGCCCCTGCCCCCTGCTCTGTGTAATTGATGCTGTTATTCGGAGGTTGAATGAGGGAGAGGCACTGTAGAGACGTTGTGTGCACGAGTCGTTGACTCGTCCTCAACTAGGGGGGGGGGGACTATCTGTCACCTCCTAACTTTAATTAACGTCGCAATTCTGTTCAGCAGCATCTATTTGTGCCTGTCGTGAATGGCAGGTGGCGCCACGTGTGATCTGGTCGTAGTGCGTAGGATTTGCGCTAGATCGGTCGATGTTTTGCAGGAGTTACTACTGCATTTCTAGTTAACTGGCAAGCTTCTCTCTTATCGTAGGATTCGTGTCTAACAGTTCAGTTCTGTCGTGAGAGTTGTGACTAGCTAACGGTTCATTCACGGTTCCGTAAGACTTGTAACTTGGCCGACAGTTTTGACAGTTGTTTCGTAAAAGTTGTGGCGAGCTAGCAGTCCAGTCGCAATTTCGCGAGACTTGCGGCTAGTTTGTGTGTTTCAGTCTCCGTTTCGTAAGAGTTGTGACTAGCCGGTGTGTGTTCCGTGAGACTGACTAGCAGTTCAGTCGCTGTTTCGTAAAATTTGTGGCTAGCTAACGGTGGAGACCCTGTTTCGTAAGATTCATGACTTAGGAAGCGAACATAAGTTTGTTGCTTCACAGTCGTGGTGATGTCGTCTGCACGTGTGATAGGTGAGGCCGCAACTGGCGCCATCTATAACAGAATGGTTTGTGTCTCCGTTGGCTCTCCTTGTGTTGCATTAACGTTTGTTCAGCGTGTTTACGTGTAAATCTAAATATTATTAATATTATTATTATAATAAATATTATTATCATTAATATTATTTGTGTAACGCAGCACGGGATGGCGTGCGAGTGACATCGCAGCTTTCCCGTTTGGCAGGCCCCTGAAGTGTGCCTGCATCACATGTGGTCTGCGATGCATATATATGTGGTTGGCACTATACGTGTGTCGTATGTTGTGTGCTGTGCGTTTATACGTGGTTATAAGTAGCACAATCCATACGTGGTGAAGTGTGTAGTGGCTGTATACATACGGTTAAGACCAGTCACACGTGCAGTACGCTTAAATAAGTGGTTAGCACTAACCTGTCGCACAACACGCAGTACGTACATGCACGTTGTCACCACCACCTACACGTGCAGTGCGTATATATATATATACATATACGTAAATATATATGTGGTCACAACTGTGACTGTATAGTGAGATATGCAGTAAGCGTGCGTATGCACAAACAGCACCTGCACGCAGCTGCTTGGACAGTGAAGGTGTCCGTCAGTGTTCTGAGCTCGGGACCGCAGCGCGGCGGTACTGCTTTAAATAAATCGCGCTGTAGTTGACCTGGCGTAGTCACGACCCCAGGGTCGAGTGCCAGCGCGCACCACCGGCGGCTTTCGACGCAACAGTGCTGCCACCACCGTGCGCGAGGGTAGGTGGCGCCACGGCGGCTTCGAACGGAAGCTTAGCAAATTTAGTCAATCGGTATATCGACGTTGGTCGTGTGTTTGTGTGCGTGTGTGTTTGTGCGTGCGTACCGTATATTCACGTATAGAGACCATGTTCGAGAGGAAAGAAGAAAACAAAAAAAAGAACATGAAAAACCATAAAAATGTGTGTGCGCGCACGTGTAGTAGTAAAATATTTAGTATATAATAATTAATTAAGATGGAGAAAGTCGAGTGCCCGGTAGTGATCTCACACCGCAGACACGACCCACAAGAGGTCACGCCCTGGGAGGTCACGCCCCGGGAGGTCACGATCCGCAAGAGGTCGTGACCCGATGAGCACTCGAGGCGCGTGCCGTGTGAGCACGCGCCGCCCGTATCAATCGTCTCACGAGTACGGGAAGCAAGAAGACGGGCCGGCCGGGGTCTTACATACATTACTGCATCCCCGGCGAGGCTCGCGCGTAGAAGGATGAAGACGGAGAAGAGCGAAAGTGAGGAAGAGAGCGACGTGAGACGTATAACGTAGTCGAGCTGTAGGTGTCGTTCGCGAGGTAACGGCAGAGCACCTAGTGGCCGCCACCGTAGAGAGCCGGTAGCGATGCGTGTACGCCCGCGATCGTTCATCGAACCGCGCTCGGGGGGGGGGGGGGTGCGACATGCAAGTAGCCGTCTGTGGTGGTGGCAGACTAGGGTTGCGCGTTTAGCTGCCACCGCGACACAGTGTGTCTGCGGTTTTCTTGCACTGAGGACAGCTTTATTTAGCCAGAGAGCGACGTGGGCTAGGACGCGTGAGTGCACGGCCGACACCCACCCATCGCCGAGTAATGATCACCCCTCCCCCTGGTGTCAGTGGTAGACACCGCCGCTCTGGTTGTCCATATCATAGGGGTCGGCTGGTGAGGACTAGGCTTTGGCGTCAGTGTCGCCGGCCAACCGTACCTAGATGTTTACGTGGGTGCACCTACTAGTAGCGCGGCATTCCTGTGTAGTACCACTTTTTTGAGTTTGTCCTTTTACGGACGGTAATGTTATTCGAGTTTTACGTTTATGAAGCTGGTGGTGACGCGTGTTGGTGTGCCGGGGTGGCTGGCACCTTGGCGGTCCAGCCATCGCAAGCGTGCGTGCATGCGCGCGCACCGATTGCGTTTTTTAGTCCCCTCCCGTGCGGCACAGAATTTTTTTCGTCGACGATTGCAATTCGTCGGCACTCGAGCCCCCCCTCCCCCCGGCCACTCGTGTCACCCACCACATCGTTACGAATCGCGCTTAAGATGGGTAGCGTTAAGGAGTGGCAAAGTTCCTGGCGCGGCAGTAGTAGTGGTGGAGACCTTCGGAAAAACGCCTGCATTGTTTAGGAAACTGCACGTTTGCTTGCAAAGTTGCGCGCGATTTCGATGGGTAAATATTTCCGCGAAAAGCACCGAGGTGGCTGAACCGACACGCAGATGCCGGACGAGCTTTTTTTTTGGTTTGCGAACAACGAGCTTTGCCACTCCACTTCGCCGCGGCAGCACTTCTCCCTGCACTGTAACTGTTGTGTAGCGGAGGTCGTTTGCTTAACATAGGTTTGATTCAGAAACGAGATGGAAGAGAGTTCCTAATTGCCTTGTTCAGCCTTGTTCATTCTCAGATGAAATAAAAAGCTGCCAATCGAATCGTCGCGTTTTGTTCTCTCTCTCGATTAATCGCAAACATTGTTATGTTATGTTGCACATATTTTTTCAGTTTTGAAGTGAAGTGGATCGTGCAATAGTTGTGATATTTTAGACCTATGGAGGACGTAACTGTATACGTTGATTCTGACAACCCCACCCACCTTTCTTCAGCTTTCAACGTTGTTAACGGCAATACACATACAGAGAAAGTAGATGAAACAATTTCACCTTTATTGTATATGTCATAGCATCACAACTAAGGCAGGACGACATCACAGCGCCAAGGACGGAATGTATAGAGGGATATGCCACTGTATTCTTCTACTCCACCAAAAATACACTGCTTTTTATGTGATTAAATAAATAAATAACACTTTGGCAAGTAGGTGTATGCACACGTACCACACTCACACAAACAACATAGCTACATAGCTATATATAATTATAGTCACTCCAAACACAGGCATCTCTGTTTGCTAAATGACACTATATATATATACATACATATCAAGAGTACATAATAGGAGATAGGAATCTCCTATTATGTACTCTTGATACATATATATATATATATGTATATAGTGTCATTTACTAAACAGAGATGCCTGTATTTGGAGTGAATAAACAGGTGTGTAATTATGACTAGGGCACAGTGGAGTATCATTGTCATAACATCTAAACAATTAGCTGTCTATGCATTGGTCCGAATAACAGAAAATGTCATGAATTACACAAGCGAATGCACGCAGGGTTGTGTGCTATCGAATATGTCATACCAGCGTAAATCCTACACTTACACTGACTTATATATGGCACGGACTATAACGACCTGACTCTATCTGTCTATAGAGGAATGAGTACCCCTGATCATGACACACGCTAGCTTCATCTTTGTTATCTTCTGGGTAAAACTCGCTCCCTGCATACAATGCTTAGTAAGGACGCACAGTATCAACCGACTAACCAGGAATTCCAAATTCCAAATGCAAACTCCGACTTCTTTACTAAGAGACTGTGGACTCATCGTACCTACGACATCAAACCACATACGCTACGTCCACGTGCACTACCTTATAACCAGCTAACACAATGTCTGCCGGAATCTTGAAGAAATGCATTGCATCATTTAACCCTGTGTTCATGGCAAGGCATCTTCACGTAAAATCTCAATGGCTTCACGATTGTCACAAACTCATTACTATCCACTGACAAACATTTGCGAGCTGCAAACGATCAACCACGATGCATCACAATACAAACACAGTACGACACAAACCGAACAAACAACTAAGTCAACGATTCGTGCGTGGAAGCCACATCAATTGGAATCACCACTAATAAGGATGTACATTACAATGACTGTTGGTTGGCGCACCCTACTGCTACTACAGATGGAACTCTGGCAATACGTCACCACTCAGAGGACACGTAACAACACGCGAGCAGAAGTAGACTGCACCAATGTCATACCAACTTGCTCTTGAGATGACGTGACGACCGATTCACGGACATCGTGGGTGGCATAGTAAGGACGGACTATTGTACAAAATAGATGAGGGGGAGGGAGAGGGAGGGTGTGCGGCGGGGAGGTATATAACACGACCCGGTTGGTAGGGAGGGAGGGAGGGTAAGTGTCCCACAGCCCAGCTGGTAGGGACTCCGGCAGGGCAGCCAATGCTCTAGCTGGTTCCCTTGTCTAGCTGGCTTGCTTGCTGGATGGCTTCGTCACTCGATGCTGTCCATCAGAGAGAGAAGATCGTCGCCTTTAGAGCTGCTGTCCGCTCCCGCTCCTGCCATGCTCATCTCACCTACCATCTTGTCGAGAGTGCTGCCATATTCTCCCTAGTGGACAGTTTGTAAACGCAGGTGAACACTCGTGTCATAATAGCGTATCAATAATAATAAATTACGATAACGTAGTTTTGAAGCGTATTTTGAAGATATTTTACACGAGATTTTTCACGAAAACCACGACAGATGAGTGATGTTGTATATATACGGCCTTCATAACAATGCAGGAATGAATAGAGAGATGAGGTTGAGTCTCGCACACAGGTCAGAGGGATCTTGAAAGTTTAAACTCTGAGGTGGTACAATATTTCGATTTGCACTTATCACACAGAATCTTTTACCTTAGAAGCATCAATCTTAATAACCTGCGAAGAGGTATCTGGTTTCTGTAGATCATATTCCCTGAAACAAACATGAACATTAAAAGACAAATTTAATTTAGGGTTTGTGAGTTGTTTGATAATAAGTAAGACATCGTTTCTCTAACACTCACTTATCATACTGATAAAGATGATGTCAAATATTAACAAAAGAGAACATAATGATAATAATCTGATAACAACTATAAATACTATATATGTTGCATTCGTTCACAAAGGTATGCAGTAACTAATTTTATTCGTCAGAAGGTATTTTACTGAATTTACAAATGGTCCATTGCATTCAACTGTAAGCAAATTGGTATGCCAGATATGCTATATTACTGTTAACCCCTAACATTTTGAATTAGCAGGACCGTGAAAGTTTGAAGAGGATACATATTTATTTATTTATTATATATTATATTTCTATAGTCAAAGGTGTGAGGATAGCTCTAACTTACTCCTCCTCTTCATCTGTGTTAAACAGGTTTATTCTGAACTCGGACTTTGGTGTGGTTTGACTTTGAGGTAGCAAGCCGATGAGCTGTGACAGGAGATTCAGCTCTGCCTTTGCCAGAGGGTTTGGATTATTCCTATCCTGAAACAAGTTTCAACTAGAGCACTCGGAGAGCACAGACCTCTGCCAAGGCAGCTGAATTCTCTCAGTGAGAGATGGTGTGTGAGATTAAGGAGAATGTAATTAAGGTTAGAGGTGAGAGCAGAGTTAAGTAGAGAATGTGAGGGAGAGTTAGAGATAGAGTTAAGTTGATCCGATTAGTGCTTGAGCGTGCAGGTGGGGCGAGCGACTGTGGTTGCCCACTTAGCACTCGTGCGTGCTGCCTGTTGTAAGTCTACAGCGCATGCGCACCTAGCTGAACTGAACTGAAACGTACATGGTAAGCAAGACACACAAACCACAAACACAGCAAACCAACACAAGACCGCCGGTGAAAACATATCCTCACGACAAGGGGCCCCTGGGGAGTAATAATACATAACACATGCCGGCAGAGTCGACAGCGCTCAACCTGTACGGCAGGTTGTTCTGAGTGGCTAAAACTCAGCTGGCAAAAACAATGAAGAGCATCCCTCCCATCAACCGCCGTTGCGGCTCAGGAGCATAATGCCAATGAGACGGGATACTAGGAGGAAAGGGCGTTGCCGGAAAGAGGTGTTGTGTATCGGAATGCCTGCGCGATCTGCGCGCAGTTCTCCGGCAAGGCGCAGCGCGACCGCGGAAAATTCCTACGACAGTAATGCAGCGTCGGGCAGCCTTATGGATCCGTGCGCCGAATTGCATAGGCCCGGCGCAACGGAATCCCATCTGGTTTTGCCCAGCGAACAGTCCGCAATTTTTGTGGGACACAGAGGGCGAGACGAGGGTTGGAGTATGCAGGCGCTGGCAGGCTATGGATTCCTGCCGAATGCATAGGCCAGCGGCACGATATCATAGCTCCAGCGAACAAGTCCCGCAAGTTTTTTTGTGGGGACACAAGAGGGCAGACATTTGGAACGTTGAACAGTGTCACTTGTGATAAAAACTGTAACCGAGGAATGTTTCGTGACGCGAGCGTGTCAGCGCGAAGTCAGCAGAAAGACTGTAGAAATTCTGACATCGCGAACCTTGCTTCGCAATAATGGAAATGCTGGGGTCAGGAATGCGAGGAAACTCAGCCGCGCTCTTCGGGTGACCTCATGTTGCGCCCAACGCTGAACGATTTTTTGGCCAACGTTGCAATTTGCGAGGCTGCGAGCAGAGTGCAAAGGCAGTGCGCCACCTGCCGCCGCCTATCGCGCGCATAGACTGGCGACGGCGGCTCCATACCTCTCCGCTTAGCTTAGCGTCACTCGATGGCTAATCGAGTGAGGACGATCCTAGTCTATTATAGCCTTTGTCACACTCGCAACCGTTCTCGCAAAGAGAGTAGGCCTATTACTAAGAACATTAAGAATTGGTAGTAAATATTATAGATTTCGTATTTAGTTACAGTGTATAGTGAGAGAGACGCGTGCGAGAGTGGGCCTGTGCGTGAGGGATAGGGGTTATTCTAACGCCTAGCAAAGAGCGTTTCTTTGAGCTAGTAGTAGTAGTAGTACTAGGGTGACTGTTAGTAGTAGTAGTATAGTATTAGTAACTATTAACAATACTAGTGTACCGGATTATTCTCCTGCCGTCCTGGTAAGTAACTATCTCTATAGGACTAGTAGGCTGTAATTTCAGTAGTAACTACTACTAGTAGTAGTACTCTAAGTACTAGTAATTATGTGTAACATGTGACTTGTATAAATACGAATATTCGTAGTGTGGAATGTAGCCAAAGTCTAAGGTTAAAATAGCCGCCGAGCAACACGCAACCGAAGAGAGTACTCTGGTGGAGAGGCGGCAGATGTATCCTACAACCGGCTCGTTGGCGCCCTATAGGTATCGGAGCCTGCGTAAGCGCGAATCGGCAAGGTGCACGCCCGAACGCATTAGCCGAACATATATATTGTTACAATGGTGGAGACAAAAAAAGCTCCGTATTACAGCAAAGAAAGCGGCCTGAGGAAAAAACAGAATAAGAAAGAAAAGCACCAAGAGCGAGAGCAACAACACTCGCGGCTTGTGCTGAGGCCCGTCTCTAACCTATGGGCTAGTTCGCGCCATCGTGGCAATGCGCTAGAACTGCCGATGAGGATGCGAAAAGCCCGCTATTATAACCTAACCCTAGAAGCCACGGCGATATACTGGCGTTGGGAAAAGGCAGCGAAATGCTAAGAAGCGCGCTACGCGGCGTTAGCCTGTTCGCGCGGAGGTTCCGTGCTGCCAGCATCGCAAGGATAGCTACAGGCACAGATCTAAAATCTTATGATAGTTAGGGCTTGCTATTACAGTAGTACATTAATACGATAAAGCATGTGTAAACTTTAAATGACTTCGCTATATTAACATGGTTTCATGTATATGCGTCGAGCGGCGACGTCAGTGGTGGTGGTGGCTGGGGGCAGCTCGGCAATGCCGCGGGAGTGGAGAGGCTCTAATAGCAAAAGACAGTTGCCGCATAGAGTCAGCTGCGGGTCATATTGGTGTCATCAAAATCGAAAGATGGCATCAGGCCCTTCGTGCGTGATAACTGCGGCTCGCGATGTGAGTGCCTGAAATCCAAGTATATCAGGCAGCGAGAATTTCTGCTCAGGTGTGAGTCAATAACACATCTGGCAATTAACAGTTGCCGGCAATATTGATGATTTAGAAAGTGCCAGTTCACCCCCATGCATGCGTAATGGGCTGCCCCCATGTTTTTGTCTACCCACGCAAGCATTCAGGTTCATTACAGTGTGCTAATACAGGCTTGGCTAGCTCAGAGTGCTAATACAGACTGCTTTAGAAAATAATATGATTTACAGGATGTAAACCTGTTCAACAAACATTTTCTTTGGCAATTGATACTGTTGCAACTGTAGCCTCACATCCACTAATAAGCATAAAGCAGTTCAGCTCCTTAGTGTAACAGTCACAAATCCATTATTTACCCTCCTCTTGAGGCTCAAAAGTATCGAACACTTACATCTTTCGCAATGTCAGCAGAAACTACATTTCATGGTCCTTTCAATAAAGCCATAAAAATATTAGGTCCCTGCTGAAAAAAAAGTTTCAATCGCTCCGTTCAGACATGTATCTTAGAAAATGTCTAAAATCTGCCCTGCGCCCCGATGAACCTTTGACCTTGTGAACTCAAATTCGGCACATGATGGCTGTTCTACATGATGCTATACACCGACTATCACAGCAGCCGTCAAGCCGTTTTTAGATTGGCCTGCCACAATTTCTGCATCTTCCTCCCTATAACTTAAGTAAGGAGGAAATAGTTCCCCCTTCTTTTACACCTCTTGACGCTTACCTTTGACGCCCCAGCTTCGACATCCCCACTCGTTCGGATTACCCCCCACGGCCAAAATTATCGTACGTACGTCGAGCGGCTTAACGATTTTGTGCCCAATGTGACGGACGCACGGACGCACGCTCATGCGATTCTACAAGCTGCATCTGACTATGTCAGATGAGCTAATAATGAGCTAATTTACATGTTAATCACCCAAAGGCCAAAGTGATGAGAATTTTCAACCTAATCTCACTCATTAACATCAATATTTAACAGTTTAGGAGCATTCATAACATTACAGCTGAAATTACTTATCAACTTATCACGTCGTATAAAATTTGTACAAAATAAAAACCAACATAAATGGTACTTTTTTACAACATGTATTTCAATAATAACAACACAACTATATATACCCTGTATGTGCATGTGTGAGTGCGTGCGTGCGTGCGTGCATGCAGATTCACTGGCCTTCTTACTCACCACGTCTGATCCTTCAGATTCAGAGCGATGATTCAGATCTCTACTGACAGTCGTCTCAAATGGTTTAGTCACTGTGTACCTGTTAATTAAATGCATACAATTAAGTGAGGTTGATGAGAATCGCGTTGTAGCAATTAGCTCATCTCACAATCATTGCTTACGCAAAAAAGTTTATAATTACTCAGACAGTGAAAAGACCTATCTGCCCGACGTGACCACAAAAACGCCTAAAATAACAATACCTCACTATATCTTTACCTCTCAGGTGCCATATTCTGATATTGCGAAACAAGCAGCGCAGAGCGTCTGCTCATGCTGAGGTCTGTTGCTAATGATTATAACGTAAAATTTCCAGTAGTTGCGTAACGTACCACATTTGTTAGCGCAGCCATATGCAGACACGCAGTTCGTACACATCACTTGTTAGGACAGCGCCCACTTATCGCAGATGGAGGTGGTGGGAGGGGGCGGGGAGGGGGTGGGAGGGAGTGGGGCCTCAATGAGCAAAAAGCATTTACCCCTTTGTTACAGGTCAACCAAATCCAATGGTTTAACCTCTCTGTGAGGGTCAAAAGGTATCCGACACTTACTCTCGCATTTCAGCAGAGGGAATTTCTAGGTCTTTCAATAATAGCCATTAAAAATCTGCTGTCACCGCTGGAAGACAAAAAAGTTTTTCATCGGCTCCGTCAGACCATATCCTCAGAAATTGTCTAAAATCTGCTGTGCCCATGACCTTTTGACTTGACCTCCAATTTCGGCACAGTGATGGCTTTTCCTACCATGATGCTATACACCGACTATCACGAGCCTAGGTCGAGCCGTTTAGTTTGCCTTTTTACTTGGGTCCAACCGATGATCGATTACGAAATTACAACCGATTGACAACACTACGTTCGACCCAAGTAACCGATGATCGGTTACAATCGGTTACTCGGGGTGTTGAATGCCTGCGTGTGCGTAACGTCGTGCGCATGTACGTGTGTGCATGTATGTGCTTGTTTAGCCCTGTTTACTGTTTGTTTTGCACTGTTTACTACTGTGTGTATAATACATGTATGTTAATAAAGGATAACTTGTATAGTAACGATGATATCTCTGATTCTCATCACTTTTCCAAGTTTTATTAAAAAAAAAATTTTTTTTTTTCCGATGAAATTGATTATGGATTTTGATAACCAAGTGCTTGGTTCGAGCCACTGTTCAACCGATGATCGAGTATAATCGATGATTGTGACATCACTAGTCGCACCTGTACTTACATGTTCGTACCCAACCTCGTGACCCTGTTGCCGTGTAACTCGATGGAGCTGGCGACCAGAGGACAGGTGTAGTTTCCTCCCGAGGCAAAGCTCACCGTCTTCACCTGCTCGCCCTTGTCATTGAATAACCTGCCGCGTTAAAAAACAAGGTCACGAATGCCTGTAAGACGCCCAGCGCCGCTGAGGCAAACAAGTGAACTGGCGTTACGGCGTGCAGTACTGCAGCTAACCCATGTGAGTTCGACGAGTTTATCACCCAATGCTATTGAGTTACACAGTTGGCAATAATACAGGCAGGTAAATCACCAGGTACCTAATCAACAGGTGAGATGTAGAAGCCTACATTCAATATAGATAGATTCACAGCAGTGGAATCGATTCTATTCAGATCTCACAGAAGGAAATGCAGGAAAGTGAGAGGTGGAGGATATCCATTGCTTATCGATTGAGGCTGTTGCGAAAATAACAATCGCGTGTACAACAATGCCAATTCTTCAAGAATTTGAAACATTAGGGTGTTATACAGGTGAAACTCCTGTGGTATTCTCAATTGCTCTTTTAAGGCTATTTAAAATGGTCACTTCTGTACTTTATCTGGTACCACTTGCCAGGCTACAAATAGCTACACAGTGGGCAAAAGCAAGAGTGCAATGTAAAATATTTTCGTAGCGTGGGTCAAAAACTAATGTACAAGCGAGCGAACAGCCATTCATGTGCACCTTATTAATCCGGGAATTTCTGTACCAGGGGGAACAGGCCCGCTTGTCGGAATAGCAAACCTGCCATTAGAATTCTGTACCTTATCCTTCAGAAATATGGACACCTAAAATAAACATTATAAACTTTTAATCCAATTGATATCTTTTAAGTCCAGTTGAATTGACTGAGGAAAATTAGCACAGGCACATTAAAATCACACCGACTTAATTACAAGCATGTTTTGAGTGTTAAAACTATGCAAAATAATGTACGTGCTTGTTAATGTTAACCATTAATAATCAAGCAGCATAGAGAGTTTGTTTGCTGGTACGATGACACATTACCCTGATGTGCATGTCTTGAAAGAAGGTCAGCAGAGTCTGTCTTATTAGCTGAAACGCGCCAAGTGAAAAGTTCCCGTAGTTCTGGAATACATGATAATCACATAAATGTGCAGTGTGTGCAAAAGCAAATATCTTTTTTAACTTTTCTAACATGCAGTCACATATAAATTGTAGGGAAAATGATAAAAAGTGAGCATTCTGTAAAACACTCTGTTCAGAGTTACTTATAATTCAATCCGCACATTGATACTCTACAAATGCACTGGGGCACATAAACATTTTTCTAATTTATTAACTAGAACAATATCAGCTTGCTAAACAGCATACAATGAAAATCCTTTGCTGTAGCATATAACATAGCATTATAACATGGTACGTACATGGTATCATGAATTATGTAAACATAGATGATACGTGATACATAGGCCAAATGTGCCTATATGTGCACTCTCACACCCAGACATGTACACATGTGTATTGGGCACATGACCTAATCCGGAAGCATACAGCATATAGTGCAGGCACTTGGGTTTAACCTGACTTGTGCTCCATACCTGGTTGAGAAGCGTGTACACATTGTTGACTTGATCACTGATCACAGCTGTTTCACCAACGAAATTACGAATGGCATCCATGTGGTTGAGCGTTACGAGTAAAACTTCAGAGGGGGATGTGCTAAGCGTCACCTGATACTTGAATGCCATTGTCATTAGGTCATAGAGCTAGAAATAAAGAAAATGTACATTTACTTTATTATATCTACTGCATTATATGTGACTATAAATGTAGTTTTACTATTCTTATACATATACTAATTTCTTGGATTCCATATGATTACCACCATTAGGCATTATGCGGTATAGAATATTATAGACACACACGCACGTATATATGTTCGAGATAATTCGATGAGTAACTCATCTTACCTTGTCCATACTGGCCGAGTTCAACCGCATAATCGAGGCATGTGCGAGTTTATCGAATACGGTTCTAAGTGCCTTCTTTGAGTAGAGCTCCTGTGGTTTAAACAGCTCTGTCATGAATCGTCGGTTAAACATTGTACCAACAATGTCATGAATTACTGAAAAAAAAAAACCATTATATGTACGTACGTTTAGAGTAATACAGGTCGCTGATTAGCATTTAAAAAAGTTATTAATATTATCTGGTTCATGTTGTTTAGAACTTAGAGAAGCTACTCTTATAGCTAGATATAATTATACTAAATTTTAACAAGAGCCGCAGAGCGTCTGGGCTCATCTGAGGTCTGTTGCTACGATTATAAACGTAAAATTTCAGTCGTGCGTAGTACCACATTTGTTAGGC